CACTTCAAGGCCTCTGCTTGCAAATGGTGTTGAAAAGTCCACCTTGGTAATTTTGTTGTTGTCTAGAGTGATAGTCTTTAAGTTTGGGAGGGAACTCAGAGCTTCCTGGGGAATTTCAGTCAACTGGTTACCTTGGAGGGTGACCCAGCCTAGAGTTTGTTGTGGACCAAAGAAAGACTCCTTGCTGAGGGAGGACAACTGGTTATCAGATAGGTACAGGTATTGCAGAGCAGCCAACTGTTGAAAAGACTGAGGAGGGATAGTAGCCAGGGCATTGCCAGACAAGTTAAGGTACACTAATCCTGGAGTATCTTTGAAAATGGGTGTTGGGATGGTGTTAAGTTGGTTTTCTCCAAAAGAAAGAAAAGTGACCCTGACTGCACCAGTGAAGGCACTAGGGTTGATGCCATCAGCTGACAGTTGATTTTGACCCAGAGTGACTTGTTCACCTGTGAGACCAGAGAAGGCATTGGCAGCAAGGGAATTAATTTGATTTCTGTCTAGCCATAGATAAGACAACCTTTCAAAGCCACTGAATGAAAAAGCAGGGACAGAAGTAATCATATTATCTTGCAGGTTAAGTGTGATCAAACCTTTAAGTTTAGTGATGGCAGGAGGAATGGTTGTTAGTCGGTTATGTGCTAAGCTAAGTACAGTTATGGAACTTTCTGCCCCAGCAAATGCATCATCTTCAATTTTATCAATTTGGTTATATTCTAAAAATACCTGGAGGAACCATGTTGCCCCGTTGCTTACCAGTTTGCTGAAAGCATTGTTCTGAATCACAGCTATACTGTTGTAAGTCAGGTTCACCTGCTTGGCGTCTGGAATCAACTCCGGGTCCTCTGTAAACTCTGGAATGTTCGGTCCGATGTTTCTTTCTCCGCACACCACTTCCCACACACGCCCCATGTTGCTGGGAGGCCCCACGCGGCAGTCACAGGCTGAGGCAAATGGACATTGCTGTAGTGGAGGGGGTCCAGGAGGTGGCTGTTGTTGTCGGACTGGACCTCCAAACTGACCGGTGGCAGACAAGACTAGTGTGGTAAAGAATATCAGTCTGTGTAACACACAGCCTGAAGGTATGGCACTCTGCATTCTCTGAATTACTGTGAGGAGTATTCTGAAATTATATATTTATATATAGATATATAACTAGATAATTAACTAGTGTGGCACTATGCAAGTAAACACCTGGGCCAAGTCAAAATGATTAAAGAAGATGGAAGATGTTGATTTGGGAAGAGTAATGCAAAATATCACAATATAGATTTTGTCAATGTTACAAAAAGATTTGTAATGCATATAACGCTTGAATAAATATGTGGCTTTTGGTTTCAAAGTTTTAATGCAAAAAAGTCTATTACTACAGTATCTTACTCAATTCTTCAGTGCTTTCCTAAGCTTTAATAATATTAGAAATTATAACTGTAAGTTATTTTTGTTGGTATGTTAATTAGTGGCCTTACTTTAAAAAAAGAACAAGAAGAATGGACTTATACAGAATTTGCAGGATAGATCAAAGATGACCTAACTTTAAATCTCAGATATTTAGAATAGAGGTGTCCTGGCAGAGGTCTTCACTCTTCTAGTGTGTGTGTGTGTGTGTGTGTGCGTGCATGCATGTGTGTACAACCATTTTTGCAAACTGTACTGAATAGACTGCTGTCTATTTTATGTGAAATCATTTTAAAAATTGTATAAAGATTCCTGATATAGTGCTTGAAAGCACAAAAAGTATTTCCCTTTCTTGGTTTATTCTAGCTTTATCTTTCTCATCAGAGACAAGTTGTATTAAACACGTTGGGCATGTACCAAAGATTGTGAATTGATAATCATCCATAGACAAACTTACACTTAAAAAAAAAAGATGTCGACCTTTACATCCATAATCCTGGCATCTTACACCCACCCAATAGAGATGTAATCAGTTATGCTGTTAAGTATGAATTTGCAATTTTCTTAGTGAAACCCACTGCTGAACTTTTTCATGAAACAATTAAAGCTTTAAGGGAGAAAAGTCATTTGTTTAAACCCTCTCAAGCTTTGCAAAGTCAATCAATATTTATACATTTCAAAAATAAAGACAAATAAAAAAAGAAATTGTGAATGGCCTAGTTCACATTCTACATGTCAGTGTAAAATTGTTAAAACATTTTTTCAAGTTCAAAAGTTGACCAAGTTCATAATATCAGAAAATCTGCTCTAACAAATCTCAAAAGAACCAACTGCCATATCAAGTGTACCAATCAGATGTCTCGACTCACTCACCTGTCACAGTTTTCAGTCTGCTCCTATTCCATCTCTTCTTTTGAACTTAGTCTTTTTCTACTAGTAATATCTTAACTTTAAATTAAAACACCTACCTTGCAAACCCTTCTGTGACTGAGAAATAAAGTCTTACAGACTGTCTCTCATACAGGTAACCCACGAGAGAACTAAGCTATTGTGATTCAGGCAGCAGTCAGACTAACTCTCTTGATGATGACTTTATCAGAGGAGTGGGCAATCATCTTATCTCTACAAGGAATCTCTAGTTCCTCTCCACTGCCTCCAGTCCTACTAATTTCCCCGCATGAATATTAATTCTTAACTGTGAAAATTTTATCACGACAAAATTGCAGCCCCTATCATTTAAGTGATTATGTAAATGAAGTCTACTGATATTTGTCTTATTCATCATAGTCATACAAGAGTCAGGTTGAGGAAGGAATTCTTTTAAGATTTAGTGGAGATTCATGGGTGAAATAGGGGGAAATTGGTGTCATCCCTGCCTGTATTTAGAAAGTGACCTGGAAGGATTTGATGTACTATCAGAGAGGGAAATGAGTGCTTGAGGCTCTAGCTTGTGTAAGGGGTAACTGCTGATGACCTGACCTTATGGCAGTTAAAATAATGTTAGGTTAATAAAATTATAAATAATTCAGATTTAACTTTCTGTTTTAAATTGATTTGGTCACACAGACATAAGAGATTGCATTCATATTTGACGCCTGAAATGCCTGCTCACACTCACAGTGTCTGCTCATCAGATGATTAACAGATGATTAACAAGGGGTATTATACTCCTGAGTCTTCATGCAAACTATAACAAAAACCCTGCCATTTTAAGGTTATATACCGAAAATAAAATGAAAACTGTTTGGGATTGGGTCATAATTCAAAAGCGCACATGCTAGGTATTTTCTTTAGATATCCATCCATTTAAATAGAAGCAGTAGACAACCAGTTTCAGTTATTCTGCACAAAATTCTAAACAATGAAGAAAAAACCTGTTGACAGATAAGAAATCAAGAAATAAACTGATTGAGACTCGACAACAGGATTCCTGTCAGCCAGCGTGATATTAAAGGAGACATTAAACAGAGGAAACAACTAATTCTTATGCAGATGATGTCTTTGTTTTTATTATCAGTGTCCAGATGAGATCTCACTGATAGAGAAGCTTCATTGCAATGATACCAAGATATACCTGATGAAAGTTACTTTTGTGGTGCTGAAGTTTTGATTTTTACCCAAGTTCCTTGATAATATGTACCATTTGATTATCAGTTTGGAGATATCTTGTGAGAAAGTTATTAACAAGTCTGCTGAGTTGAGGTTTTTTACAGATAGAAATAACACCTCTTATGTACAGAAATCTTTTTGGGTAAAAAAAATTATAAGTTTCAAACTGACTTTAATCTTGTTTTTTGATAAAAGTAGTAAAACCTTTTTTTACAAAAATTAAAGCCCCTTGTGAAAATTTTTTTAAAAGTTTGACCATGGCCAGTTTTGGTACAGTTATGTAAGAATCTAAACTTTTTACATGATTTCACTTTTAGTAATGAATCCTTTAAAATCATTTTATTTATATTTGTATTTATTTATATTAATCCCTGTCTGCATTTTTTATGCCAAATAAAATTTATTTTAGAAAAAAAATCATATTATCCTAAAAATATTAATGCTCAACCTGCACTTGGATATAATGTTTTATACTATTTGTTATTAGATCATTTAGTTCTAAAGTTATGATCAGACATTGAGACTACTTTTCCCTGTACATTTAAGAAGGAAAAATCAACATCAGATACTTAAATTTCAGGGGTTTCATTGAAGTTCTTAATTGGGAAAAATATGTATACTTGCAGGATAAGAAAACTTAAAATGTGAATTTGAGATTTTTTTTAATGCAGGTAGTATACCCTTAACCAAGTAATGCACAATAGCAAAATACTGCAGCTTAATCTGTTAAAAAAATGGATATTATTCTGCTGTAATGACTGTTGCCATCTGATATCTGAAGTCCAAAAACAGCCATTTTCACAATCTGAACCAAAAATGTAGAATATAATCAGAAAATGATAACAGAAAAATACAAATCTTTCTCTTACCTTATTTTTGATTCAGTTTACAGTTGATTGTCTATCTCTTTGCTGTGTTGTACTATGCTGTATTCTATATACTAGTATTCCATCCTCTGTCAGGTGTCCTAGTTGGGTCTGTGTATCCAACACACCTGGCTCTCACTAGTAAAAGGTTAATGATTATCAGACACCTGAGTTTTATAGCGGTGACTTATCTCCCATCCTGATCAAAGCTGCAGGGTGAGGGCCTGCTGCATTAAGTCATCAGTGGTGTTTCACAACTTTCTTTGTCTGATTGTTATCAACTTGCATCAGTATTGTGCTGTGTTAAGGTAATGGCTTTATCAGTGCCATTGAACCACTTGTCCAAAAGTTTTCATTTTCACTGACTTTTTCTGCATGGTATTTTATCAATTTACATTGCATGTCATGATATTTATTAAATATCTAACATTCCACACATTTAAGTATATTAGAATACATAAGCATTTTATTAGGCACCTAAAACCTTACTTCATTAATAAGTTCTCTTTGTAAACCACACTCTGCTTGTAAAAAAAAGAAAAAAAGTCTCACTTATGGTTAAAAAGAAAATACATCAAATTAATTTAATAAATAAAATGATAAACTAAGTTTTTCTTTTGCTGGTAGTTTCCCTGGGTGTTAGACATGGAACCCTACACAGAACAGGGAATGTCCAAACGTGAGTCAGTGGTGGACCTGATGGCCGAGGTCCCTGGGGAGGATAGTGACCAACCCATAGAGCTGCCAGCCTCTCCTTTGGCCACAAAAGCAATCAACTACGAACTGGTTGGGGTGATTGTCCACAGTGGTCAAGCCAATGCTGGACATTACTACTCATTTATTAAGGACAGGAGGTGGGTGCATCATTGAAAAAAAAATAGTGCAAAAGAAAACATAAATAAAACTGATTATCTAAACTCCTATCAGTATGGAATTTAACAGATTTTGAAAAAAAAGTTTAATGATACAAATGTTCTGTTTTGTTTTGGGATTGTAAAAAAATATGGACAATTTTATTTGTTAATTTCATATATGATATTTGTTTATGGCAGTCTTAAGATTGATGCTTTTCTTATGAAAGTGAGTAATAACAGTAATTAAATATCAGGTGATGTCTACTTGAGACATTAGTCAAAGATGGCAAAAAAAAAAAAAAGATTGTATGTAAGATACCTGGCCATTCTGTGCCAAGATAGAAATGTGGGTACAAAATGATATGAACCTTTTAGGTCAATATGCAAGAGATAAATTTTAATTGAGCTGGTAGCTGGGATTTTGAATATCAAGTCAGGAAATATATGCTGGCGAGAAATATGCATCTCTCTCTCTCTCTGTAGAACCTCTAATTTTCTTCTTATCTTTCCAGTTATTTAATGCTACTCACCACATCTTGTATAAATGCTCTGATATTGAGATAATGACCACACAGTAGATATTTCTATCTTCTTGTCTGTCCTGAGATTGTTTAAGTGGCTTACATAAATGACTTAATCTTGAGAAGAAATCGCTGACTAGTTGATTAGGCTGATTGCCCCTTGAGCAGTGATCCTCATATGCATATTTAAATGAGTTAAACCTTTTGAATGTTGATAGGAAATTTGCATACAAAGAAAAGGAAAAGGATGAGGAAACATTGTTGATTGTTCCTATTATAGTTAATGGTTTATTTAAGGGTAAAATGGACCTGTCTGATTTACTTAATTTCAAAAAATAAAAAGTATTTTTCCTGGTTGAATATCTCATGAGTGAAATTCCTCACGCTGTTAATTGTTGAAATTGGTATTTCATTTTTCTTTTACTGTATTTGTTAAGTTCCAATTTAGCCTGAGACTGAGTACTTTTCAGGTTATTAAATTTCTTTGCCAATATACATTTCATGATAACAGTACAGGTTTTATGCCATATGGGACACAAATTCATGCAAATTTAGTAATAAAACATTCACTTCTCAGAAGTTATCATACTCTAGATTAGGACACCAAACTGCTGTTTTTTAATAATCAGAAGAAATAAGTCTTTCATTATTACTTGCACAGGTTAAGGTAATATATCTCCAACTCTGTGTACCCCCATAGACAAGAATGAAGGTTTAAATTCTTCAATTTTCCACACCCTGAGTTTGAAGTAATAGATGATGATTCACCTCTACATTGCTGTACCCTGCCATTACTGTTATATATCAGATAGAAATGGTCAGGCAAAGGTAGCAGAACTAGGTTAGATTCAGAGTCCAGTGACTCCTGTAATGGTGCTCTTAAACTCTGTACAACTTAAAATGATAATTATTTGATTATTCTTGATTTTTTCTCTTGTCTGGCATTTTAATCTTTCTTTTCTTATTTCTTTCTTGAACTCTGTATAAATGATTATTATATATGTGATTATTCAGAATTTTTTGCTTGTCTTGTGCTTATCTTCAAACTTTCTTTTCTAACTTTTTAAAATTCTAGTAATATACATCTTTTGTATGGGCTTATTCACTTATTTGTATGTTTTGATTTGATCTTTGTGTCACTTAGCTAAATAACAGCCTATGTTAGGTAACCGCTGATGCTGAAAGTTTAATACATATTACCTTAGTTTTATGAGAGAATATATAAAGTGTTTCCTTTTTCTGAAAAAAGTATAATAAAAATAATTAGTTTTTATGCACATGATCGATCTTTCACATTTTATTAATTTCTTTTGTACCTGAATAACTGACTGGTATAATCTAAACAAGATGAGTTACCTAACATTGGAAGCAATTTATTCAATCCAATCTACCTGCCTTGAATTTCACTGAATCAAGACTAGATTTTATTTGTTATAGAAAAGGGATTGAAAACATTTGACATGTTATTGTAGGGGCAATGTGATGAGCAACCCAAATAGAGGGAAATGGTTTAAGTTTAATGACACAGTGGTAGAAGAGTTTGAGATGACAGATGCTGCACTGGAAGCAGAATGCTTTGGAGGAACATACAAGGCTAAGATCTATGATCAGTGTAAGTTGAAAGTTGTATTTAGGTAATGCATTGTGGTCTGTAATGTTATCTGAGAAATACAATGTTCTACTAGCTTTTGCTGTAATGTTTTTTAAATGACAGCATGTAGCTTCAGATGGTTCTTAAAAATATCACATCTTTATCTGTTCTATTTGAAAAGGCTTCATAAAAGTCAGTTATTGGCTTAAACAAAAGTTACTAAATTTAGATTCCACCTAACTGAAAAATTCATTGTTAAAAAAACATTTGACATAAATGTTATGAGGTCAACTGACTAAAATTTTCAGAATTGATCTGTTTATTCCTATCCAGCTAATTCCTATCCTGAAGAGAGGCTGCGCTACTGGAGTGGGTACCTGTTGTTCTACGAGCGTATAGAGGAGATGATGAGAACTCCAGTGTCAGCCAAGAAGAGCCGGGTGTCCAAGATGAGGAAAAGTCTGCAAGGGCTCAGGTGAGTTTAGAAAAGTTCTAGATTCATTGAAAAAAAGCAATATTCAAGTATAACTGTCCATGTGAATCTTTTTAAGTGATATTTTAATAAAGTGCTATTTCTATATCAAGATGAATATGTTTATCAAAAAATATTTTTATCTTTTCTCAATGCTCATAACAAATATTTTTCAGTTCTGACAGAGATAGCTTTGTGGAGCTGACAGAGCTGGTCTGTAGGGGGGACCACCAGGGCATCTTTACTGATAAGATGCCAGCCAGGATACAACAGCAAGTGAAAGAAGAAAACCTGAGGTTCATGAAGAACAGAGATGTCTATAGCCCAGAGTACTTCAGATTCATTAGAGAATTAGTCATGAAAAATTCAGTAAGTTTATAAGTGACTTGTGTCAGACTCATTTTAGTCTTATACATTGTAGCTTTGTTATGTTTTGCAGACAAAATTAATATTGAAAAAAATATTTTTGCCCATTGGTCTTTAGAGTCATTTTTTAGCAGTTGTAATAGGCAAATTCTGATATATACAAGGAGCGTTTCATAAGATGTTTTAGTTGTTTTTATAAATATTATATAATAAACTATATTGTCCTATGTTCCAGTACCACACAGAACATCCATGTTTTCCAATGATGTCTCTGGAGTCCTTACAGCTGGGGGTACAGTTCTTAATACACACCTACCTCAGAACAAAGAAACAGCTCAGGCAAGTTTGTATGCATGCTGTGATAGTTGTCTAAACTGACCTAAAAAACATTATCAAGAAATTGCATCACTTAAAGGACCAGTTTAAAAGATACCCCCAAAAAGAATAAAAAAACATAGATTTCTGGTTTTGAAGTGTTTTTTTTTCTCTATGGAGAAAAGCGATGTATCAATTCACAATATTTCTAAACCAAATGATTAATTTGTACATTTGTCAAGAATGTTTGTCGAGTTTTTTTTTTTTTTTTTTTTTTTTTTTTTAATTGTTAATAATAAATCTGTTTAGAAAACATCTGAATAGATAATGCATTAACATTCTGTACTTTGTATGTTAATTAATATCTGACCCTGTGAACCCTATGCTAAACAGAATTATTTCAAAATGTAAAATTCATTCGCTACATTCCCATTTGGTATTAAACATTTGCTTATCTATATTTGACTTATTTAGGTGTGACATGGATGAGTGGATTGCCTGCATTGAAACTTTGGTCCATGGATGTAAGTCAGCTTGTGATTGGCTGATAGAGTACCTGGCTAGTGAAGAAGGAGCGGCGTATGTGTGGTAAGGTTTTTTTTTTTTTTTTTTTTTTAACCATATTTACTCTGGAGAAAAGTTTGTTTAGTGGAATACAATCATAAGAATGAATAACTAGGTAGAGATGTACTAACAGAAATAAAGATGGAGTTAGTTTAGTTTAAATGCTATTTACAAAGTTTTAGTGGCAGATTAATCTTTAAAATGAATATATGCTCTTGTGGTGTGTAGTTCGGTAGGTTTAATGTTTATACAAGACTGATTTTATTGCAGCCATTTCCTATTGAAGTGCCCAACCAGAGAAATTAGGATAGCATTTGGACGGATCTTAGAAAGAACCATGAGGTGCTATTTTGAACATGGAGGAACCACAGTAAGACACCCCCTCCTCTCTCTCTCTCTCTCTCTCTCTCTCGCTCGCTCGCTCGCTCGCTCTCATTAGTTCCCTTTTATTCCACATTGTGTTAGTTGGGATACATGAGACCACCAAACAAATTATGCTTAACACATCCAGATTTCTGTTTACAAGGACATATCAATATTTGCACTATATACAGATTTGTGCTGAAGAAAATAAATGCAATTATTTTAAGATGTCTCTTAAAATCATTTTCAGGACCACATTTGTTTCAATGAATTGATTGAAAACTTGCTACTTTTGCTGGGCAGAGATGTCCCTGAGAACTGTAAACAGTGCACTCAGTACTTCCGAGTCTTGAGCAATTACGCACAAATGGTAGGTTCTTATTTTCAGAATAATTGCTAAAAGTGTTATTTTCTATGTTTGTTTTGATATGTCCAAAGGATGGCATATGTTTCAAACCATGAATAAATTTTTTTTTTAATTAATTGATTTACTTATTTATATTATAATTTATACTTCTTCATAATACATGCTGCAGCTATTTTTTGCCTTGTACAAAATGCTGATTTTAAGAGATTATAATTTTCTCCTTGGTGTATTTTCTTTCATGTGGAAAAGAAAATTTAGAGAGTTGCTGGTTTTTTGTATGTTATTTAAAATCAGGGAAATAACATTGAATGATATTGAAGTTTTTGTTTTTATTTTATTATTCACTGTTTCCATCTCTTTTGGGATTGTTGGAATGGCTTATATCAGTGCCTAAACAAGTATTTAAATTACTGTCTCTTATACACACCTAGCCATTTTCTTGGTTGGAATACGTTTCATTGTTGGTGTATGTTTCAGGGAACAATGGCCTGTCAGCATCTCTTCAGCAGGAATGCCTTCCAAAGAATGATTCATTTCTTACTGGGACCAGCCCCTGCTGCTAATGTGCAAGTAAGGATTTGTGGCCAAAATTTAGAGACCACATGGAGATGTCATGCTTTTTATAAAGAAAAAGTGAATGGATTGATAAGTAACTAGCATTTGAAGAGAAATAAAAAAGAAACTAACTTTGATATTTTTTGCTTTATTTTCTCTTGATGGAAGAAACCAAGGTTGATGAAGAACTTCATTCCAATTTGCAGTTTAATCATGTATATAAACAGATTGTTTTGTTAAATTCTGTTTTTCCTTCCCCATTCCAGCAGGAATCCATCCCCAGGAAGTGGTCCTCTATGCAGTCTCGGGACTTTGGTCCTCTTCACACCACTCTTGCCATACTCATTACTAACTGTGATATTGCTTCATTCAGAACTGAAGGTAAGTCTGGATATTTTGTTTGATACACGTAACTGAGAGATTGCCTTATCCTGTGTGTTTGCTTAAAAAGACACATTTTCATAACAAAAGTGTTATCAGTAATTCAGTCAAAGATTGATTTATAACAGTATCTAAATTTTCATAACAAAAGTGTTATCAGTAATTCAAAGATTGATTTATAACAGTATCTAATTATTTTTTTCCTCCAGTTTTTTGTGTTGCATACAGCACAAAGAGGAAACTGATGATAGTTCATTCCATACACAGTAGGAAAACTACATTTTCTTTAAACTGTCAACTTCATAATACTAGATAATAATGCCAACATTTTTTCACATAAGTGCAATACAAATATATAAATACAAAGAATACATCTCTGTTGAATAAATTTCAGAAGTGGGTAACCACCCTGCATACCAGACTAAGCTAGTTCAGCCAGACAAACTACTGGACATGCTACCTGAAGTACAAGAATTTGTCTTTGGGAAAGAATCTGGTCGCTATCTGCGAGAAGTTGTCATGGCAGTTCGTGAGATAGGGGGCAGCATTGCTCACATCTTGGATATGTGCACATACTGTAGCTTCTGCAATGCCACATTTAGCATGACTCTTCTTAAGAATATTATGGTGAGAATTGCATTTATGAAATCTAAAACAATTTACTATATTTAGGTTGCACTCTTTGAAGGCTACTTAATTTTACTTTGTCAACCTGCACATAAGATTTTACCCCAAATTTGTTATGCAAATGTATGGCAATAATATATTTTATTTTTGTGGGTTTTGTTAAAAATGCAGAGCATCTTGAGTATGACTTGGTTGTCTCTGTATTAAAGACTTATACAATTTTTATTCCTAACATAAACAGTCACAACACTCTTCATGTATGTGGGGTGCACTTTTTTATATGTCAGTTGTTATATGTAAATGATCACTACCAGATTTATTATAATTTATTTATTTTATTTTTACATTTTCAGTCGCAGTATGCATCTGCTCCTTCCAGTGAACTGAAAAGTTTATTTGTTTTACTCATGCAGTTACTGGTAAGTAAAGATGACAATCTTCTTTTTGTTAATGGTACAGTTTTATTGTTATTAAATAGGAAAACATTTATTTGGGTTTGTTTGATAATATTCTTGACTCAGTCGAGTCAAAACAGTCTGGCTGGCAAAGTCAGCAAATTTTCTTTTATTGTTGGTCGTAAAACTCATTCAGACCAAGCATAATGCTCACAAGATATATATAAATAAACATAGATATCTCCCTTTAGAAGCAGCACAGTTATGCTGTGGTTTTTACTTCACACTTTCCTACACTGGTAGCTCACCAGTTGCTTAATGTGTTCCAGACTTTAGAAGACCCATTGCAGTTGAAGAGAATTCAGTGTACTATTGATGGCTACATTGACGAGGAGAACTGCAGCTTTGAAGGAATGTTAGGTAAGAAATGGTTTCTGTCATCATAATGGGTGTATGTAATATTAGATAAAATTGTCAGATTGAAAGGAAAATTTTCAGTAATTATGAATAAGTAACTAGATTCTCATTTCCCTCTCAAAAAGTCAGATATACAAGTATATACAAACAAAATTTACTAAAAATTAAGAAAAATCTATTGTTTTTTTTTTTTATTTAATGTGAAATCCAGGATGTTAACTCTTGGAATATCTGAGAGTAAATAATAAAAAACAGGATGCAAATTAATGTTATTTTATTTGACCAGATAAACCAGCAGTGTTTACTCCCTCAACCACATTTACATGCACACAGAGATTACATAGCTTGGATACCACCAAAGTTAACCTTTGCTTTGACTGAAAAAAAAGAAAAACTCCACTCCTTATTTCTAGAGTTTCATTGTGGTTTTTGGCACTTGCCCAGTCATGTATATGTGTTAAGTGTTCCAAGGCAACTGAAACCCTAGATTTGGCTCTCTCTTGGGGTCATTGTGAATAGAAAACAGTGACACTGCCAATTAGAGATTGATAAGATGTAATCTGGGATTCCATCTTTGTGATTCTACTGCAATTTTGTGAATATATATATTTTTATGATTGTCATTCCTCTTAAACTATTTGTAATATTCTTTACCTTTTAATAATATTATTTTGGCTGAAAAAGCATTTAATTATATCTTTCTTGCCAGATTCTAAGTTCTTTTTTAAGTTCATATGTGTCAGATATGCTGCAAGACTGTGTTGTGGGTGTAAATGTGCATATGTTTAGTGCAAATATTTTGGTTAATAGAAAACTATTGAAGTTGTGTTATTACAAGATCTGAATCCTGTGCACATTTGCTTATGAGTGTCAAAGTGAATGATATGAAATAATGTCACCAAAAATCCATCCTTAATGAATACATTTTTTTTATATTTAGTTTATACTCTGATATCATGTACTGTTTGAAATAAAATCAAGAGTTTTATTTCATTCAAGGTGTAATCAAATGCAACCATGCCAGTGACAGTAGACGTTCATACCAGTGTATCAAGTTCCTGGTCAACCTGGCCAACAAGTGTCCCCTGGCCAGAGATTACCTGGTGCAGACACCCTCTAAGTGGCAGTGGGCTGTCAACTGGCTGAAGAGAAAGGTAAGCTGGGCTGTAGTGGCCTTCTCTCTTCTTATTTTGAAGAACAAAAAAATAAGTGTCTTGTTTGCAGAAGGCTTTGTGTATGAGATGAAGAGAGGAATTGGTTGAGAACTAAGTAATAGTAAGGGAGATGTAACTTCCTGAGATTAACTTTTCTTGATACATTTGAAATGTTGTGGTTCTCTGATTATTGAAATATATAGTCAACATACATGTGTGGACAACTTTCTCAAATATACCCATCAGTTAGAATATATTTGATGCATAGAAATTTCATTTACTTGTCTTATAACTAACATCTTTTGTGTATCATACATCTTTATTATAAAAAATGTGGAGTTATGGAATATTTAAATTAGTTAAATTTGAAACTTCACTAGATGGATTCAGATAAGTAGGGGTGTGGGATTGGTGCTTCCTGACCTTGACCTCTTTTGTTTGTTTTAGATGCAACCCTCTGAGTTCACTTGGAGCTCCACGTCTACAATAACTACTTCATCTAACGAGGACTCGGACAGCAAAACTTTTCAAAGAACCATGAGTGCCCAGGTAACTGATGTTTGCCAATGCACATTTGTTTTTGGGTGTGACCTTGCTCATCTCATCTTTATGCTGAGAATGAATTTAATTTGGTTTAATTGTCTGGCAGCACATCAGTCGTGAGGACTGCATGAATAGAGGGTCAGGGAAAAAACATGCAGTAGGGAAAGTAGTGGAAGACCTCTACATTTAGGCTGTGCTGTGATAGTTTGTGAACCCAGTTGAATGTTACAGATGTGTTTATTTTTTCTTGTCAACTTTTTTTTTTATTTTTCAGGATACATTAGCAGAGGCCACTGCACTACTTACAGAACTGGAGGCTCAGGAGTCTGAGATGGATACAAACACTCTAAACAATGAAGAAACTCGTGAGCAAGATTCAAACTCTCAAAGTAAAATGGATAGTCTTGATGAAGTGGACTTTTAGAATACTTATTGGACTAAATTGTTAAGCATTCTATGAATGTTTTATGACATTTGACTTATTAAGTTAAGGACAGTCTCTGTTTCAGCTGAGGTGAAGAATTTTTTGTTTAAATTATTGGGGCAGCTTTAACAGACTCTTATTGGATATAATTCGGTTATTTAGACCCTTAACAGTTTTCCTGTTGTTTTAATTTGTTATTCATTTCAGTCATTTTTGGCTTGGAATGATTTTCAATATATGTAAACAAAATGCTTACTGCAGTTAGTTACAATAAGGGTTTGGGAGCACTTTATTTTCTCAGGAAATGCATGTGTTCTTTTTTTCTGGGAAAAGTGGATATAGTAATAAGAACAGTCTGCTGTCTTATTTTTTTTTAATTTGCTGATTCATTTATTTTTTTATTATAATTATTATTATCTCTCTCTCTCTCTCTCTCTTTTTTTTTTTTTTTTTTTTTTTTTTTTTTTCTTCACATTAAAATTTTTAATTTTTTTTTATTTTCAATTTTTTTTTTTTTTATTTAATCCTTCAAAAAAAAAGTTAATTTTTTTTTTTTTTTTTTTT